CTAAGAGGGAGCTAATCATGAATAGGAAAAGTAACTACAATTAATTTAGTCAATGGAATAAAATACATAGAATTATGTCAGACTCTAACCTAAATTTGTTTTTCAATTTTATTATTTCAATTTCTTTTACATTTTAGACAAACTAGAATGAGGACAAAATAAATTAATTATTAGCCCAGAAAAATTTACAAAACAAAAACATCTGCGCTAAGTTGGCCAAACAATACTTGATGACTTCACGGTTTGTTTGTTGTTTTGTTTTTGTTTTTTTACATTAATTACATTTTTCACTTCATGGATGTACAATTCCAGAAAAACTACTCTAGTGTTATAAAATATGTACAGTAAACATACTTAAACAACCTACATTTGGATCTTTTTCTTTCAACACAAGTACAGTAACTATGTACTACAAATACTGTCAAACTCCTCACTCAGTTACTTAACCCGTTTACAAGAAACTCTCCATCTTGATGTTCTGGTCTTTTATGTTGTTGTTTGCTGTAATGCACAGATTCATCTCGAATTCATGGCCCTGGGACGGAGGTATTTTGTTGATCTTGGCAAAGCTCTGGCAGATGTCCATGAATGTTTTATTTTTGGTTTCAGGCAGGACAATGAAGAGGTAAATAGATCCCAGAATACAGAAAACCACGAAAACAAGGAAGGCAAAGGACTCCAGTGTCTCCTACACAATGAAAAAAAAAAAGAGCGAGAACAGTTCAGCAGATGGTCATGACTTGTGGTTAACAGAGCCTATTACAACAGCACTTAAAGCAAATTCATTATTGTTTCTAGCATTGTAACAGTCTTTACAGCCCTTTTCTCTCTAAATCTTTTTGCCCTTCACAGAGTCCGGCTTTTATCAACTTCAGATTAGGGATGAGAAAATACACAATTCAATCATGCATTGCATAAGAACCACCTCCTGCCCTGTCCTTGTCTTTCCTCAGTAATACATTATAATTCTACTTCCTGTCATGTTTTGTACTGCTGCAGTCCAAAGGGACTGATTGTGGCTGTTGGACAGATTGTATGTGGCTATGACTTTTTTGTCACAAGTCTAATTTCCAGAAAAGTCAACACAAACAAATGAGTTTAGGTCAAAAAAAAAAAAAAGATTTGACCTTTGACATAGTTGTAGTCCTTTCACTTTGCATGATACTGTTACCTGAACTTTTTCATTACATTTCCATCAGTAGTCGTAATTGTAGCTCAATAACTGACAACTATTATCATACAGTGTTGTATTCCTGTTTTGCTTCTATTTTGACATTTTGGAAATGCTGCAGGCATTAATTTGTAAATATTAATAAATAACATTTTCTTTTGAGTAAAAACTCTGAGACTAACAGCCTTGATTGATAATGAACAATATTTGTAGTCATGACTGTTGACTAATTATTGCTTCTTCATTTTTTCATGCCTACTGCACGTAGATTATGAGATGGTGTGTTAATGTTAGATAGAGTGACAGAGAGAAACAGAGTGTGAGAGAGACAGAGAGAGAGAAAAAGGGAGGACCCTGACTGACCCAGAGTGAATACTTTATCTGTGCTATCAAGTGAACAGTGTTCTAACATCTCTGACCTAGAGCTGAAATTCAGCTGTACTTTCAATAAACCTGCGACTGCCTTACAGTTGCTATTATGTTTGTCCTACTCTTTATATGTCAAAATAAAACAGAGCCCAAAATATTTTTTCAAAACAAAATGTAAATGCAGAGCATTAGGAAATGATACTTTGTAGCAATATCTGTCATCTGTCATAGGGAAGCTGTGGTCTATTCACAATTAATAATGATTAATCAAGATCGCAGTTAGACATGATTAATCATGATTTTAAACAAAACAACATTTCTAAATATGACCAAAAAACTTTTTTTAAAGGAAAATACATTATGTATCTGTTATGTGTATGTTATTTTATTATTTTAAGTTAGAGGTGTGTTGATGAAACAAAAACTTGCAGTGTGTGTAAATTACTCATGTATTGACTGTGTGTTAGAACAAAGATAAAGTGACAGTGAATTCATTGGATGTCATTTTTGAAATTTAACAGTTCCATAGGTTTCAGATTTAATTATATATATAAATGCTGTTCTTTGTTATGATGAAGCCTCAGCTGATGTTCTATACTGAGCCCAGCATTGCTTTTATACTATTTTTACAGTGGGAGAGAAACCTGATCAACCCACATCAGTATGTCACTGAGCCTAAATCCCCAGCTTTGGGAGGACAGTTCTAAATGAGGCTCTGACCTGTAGTGTTCAAGCTAGCACACTCACCGCTGTGCCTCCAGCACACAGCTGTTAACCTCTGACACTATCTTTTCCTACATTAGCGATATTTCGTTTTGAGTACTAACATCCAGGGCATCACAAAAACGGGACAGTCCACTTTTCCTTTACACTCATCTGCTAAGTAAGCAGTGGTGAGTCATGGAGGGAATACATTTGTGCCTGTCATTAGTGGAATGTCGCCAAACACTGTGGATTAAAAGGGCATAAGGATTAGCTTTTGATCTGCTGCTGTTGCTCAGCAAGCTTCAGTTTGTCGCATGCTGACGAAATATCAGGCAGACACACTGAGGGGTAGATACAGCGTGTGTAGCGGTAAATAGAAATTACTGACATTAGAAAACTGACATTTGTCTGACGTAGTTTCTGACTTTTCAAACAATTTAACATATACAGTGCCATGACTTCAGATAACATAATATTTCAGGGCTGCCATTTGTTTAACTGCCATTGTTGTGGTGACCTTTAAAGAGGATGCAACAAGGAAGCTACACAAGCAAAGTGAGTTAAATTCTACATTCTCTGAATCTGTTTTACTCCCACTTTCAATTCTGATACTGTAATCCTCACAGTTCAAAGACAGTTCTTTAGCTTTTCTGGAAACAGAATCAAAGTTTCTTCTCTCTCATTATTGTTGCTCTCTAAAGTTAGCACCAGATTTCATGTGAAAGCCAAGGCAGAGGTTATTATAATGATTTCTCTTTGAAGAAAAAAAAGGTCAATAGATTAGGTATTTTGACCAACAGCTTCCTACACACCCGCAGGAAGTTTTGTCTTTCTGATCAGTTGCTCATGCGCTGGGGGCCTGCAGCAGGTCATCTTTCGTCATCTCGCCCTATTTCTACTCCTTGTGCCATTTATATTTAATTTCGTCCTTCCTGGCATCTTAATTGCTAACATCTTTTAACCAATATATTTTCACATTCAGAACCCTAACCTGACCATCTCAATCTTGCCTCACTTATTGTTCAACCTTTCAGTAGATGTTCATATGGTAGTGTAATCATGTCAATCATTGTCACACCTAAAGACAGGCTTAGCATTTTCATCTCTGCATTGCCACTTCCAGCTCAGCCACGTCTTTGTGACACAGCTACACTTTCCAAAACAAACAGCTCAACGCCTGGGAAACCTTGCTCTCATATTTTCTATTATGTCGTTTTCACTCTCATATTTGACAAGCACACCCAAAAACTTGTTAATGAGTCCATTGCATCAGAGCAGCCTCAGAATGTGCAGGACAGAAAGTCAATCTACAGCTGACAAGCTGACTGACACGTTTCTTAAAAATTGTGAGGGATTGGAAACTGATTAATGTTGTTGAGGAGAAAGGCTTCACCAAAGTTTTGAAACAAACTTTTGAAAGTTCTACAAGCCGTTGACAAGATGCATAGTAATGACTAAAATCCACCAACTCTATGAAGCTGAATGAAGCTTGAGATTTTTCCAAATGAATAATTCCATAGATAAAAACACAGAATACGTAGAACACATACATCTACCAGATGTTATTAGTGTTTTTGTTCCAGCAATATACAAATATTTCTAGTGATTGAATTGACAAAAGAAAGCAAATATTTGGAGTTAATAAAGAACTGATTACAGACCAATTTTATTGTAATTATATTATGATGCACTTGTAAGTAAAAACAATTAGTGAAACAGATCATTTTAAATTGTAATATTCTCAAAAGACGTCTCTTTTGGCATCACTTGAATAAATCTGTGCAACTTTACCACATTCATCTCGCATTTTTGTGTCTCATCGTGAGACACAAGATGAATTAGAACACAGGACAGCATAAATGACACAAAACAGGTCAGGGACATAAAAGGAGACAATACAGAATGAACAGCTTTCAGCAAAGGACATGATGTGACAGAACTGGGACAGGAGAAAATGCAGTGTGAGACAAGACAGGCCAGAGCAGGACGAAGGAGACAAGGAAAGATAAAGAAGTTTACTAAGAACAGTGTAGGAGAGGACAGAGTTAATGTTTTACGAAGTTGAAGAGTTAGCTGGCTGTTACAATTGTTATTTATTATCAATTTATTCATGGCAGCATTGAGAGTTCTAAAGCCCACATTTAGATTAGTTGGTTAATTAAACACTGTTGTCAAACAACGTATTGTTATTGATTTCCAGAGGCTAGTGGCGCATTTGACTACGAGTAGGATCAAAGGATTCTGGATGGCTTAAATATTTTTTTGTATAGCTCTTGGCCTAGTTGTTAAATGATTGGGCTTGTAATTGCAGGACAGGGGTTCTAATCTCAGCTTTTGCTTCGGGCCACTTCCAACTCCTACTGTGTGCCTGGTTATAATCACTGTGGATGTCAAACAATGGGTGAAGAAATTTTTCTTCGAGGGATTAAGAGAGTACTAAAAATTTAAAATGATTAGTAATGGGGTGAGGAACCTAAAATAACAGCACCCTGTGATGAATCAAAAATAATTAAATTAAATGATTTATTACATTCTGATGTGTTCTCATTCATTTATCTTTTACCGTTTTAATAATTGTCAAGATGGTGGGGGATTGTGGACAAAGGGAGGAAACTAGAAAACTCAGACAAAAGCAAGAGAAAACATATAAAAACCATTAAGAGTTCTCACACAGTCAATTCTGCTTTCACATGTGCTGGAACTAATTAGAGGATTGCAGACGACAGCCGCAAACACTAAAGACAAATGCTAAATCAGACACTGAGAACAGAACCCTGATGGAGACAGCCTCTGTGTGCTGCGTCCTGATGAACGCCTTCTTGGGCAGCACTGACTCATCATTGTTGTGTGTGTGTGTGTGTCAGGGGAAGGACGATCATGAGTTTGGGGCTTCGAGTACCCTGTGTTTATTGAGGAGGAACATTCAACAACGGTGTCTGCCATGCAGTCATGCTTGGATTATTAAGATTACACAGCTTTAGTTAGTTTTACCATGCTAAGCTGCAATTGAGGTTTTAATGGATTATCTTACATTAGTGTTACTACTAATGCAGTGCAACTACTGAAGGTAAGTGACCCACTGTTTTACATCACAGACAGGGATGCACTGTCTCTACAGCTCTTCACAGAAATGTGAAGGCATACAGTAGTATTTCGACAAAATGAAAATGTTTTCCTCATTTTATAATCAATCAAAAGCACTAAAAATTGTATTGATTAATTAACTAAAACTATTTATTTGCTCAAAAGACAAGGAAATGAAATGCTAAACATCATGAATATTCAATGACTTTTCACTTTAATCGCCCTGGAAAAAATGTAGCAATAATTTAAATTCCTGAAGAGACAGTGATGCAGTGACTTCTTTTCTAGTGAAAACAGGGACTAAAGCATCTTCTTGTATGATTTACTGTATTTACTTCTGAAGGATTTTCCCAGTGACT